CAACACCGCAACCGGAATTCGTTCATGCGCTCACGCGCGCGCACGTAGGCGCTCGTTTATCCGTTGTTTTTGTATTACTTCGAATTTATTCGGTCGATTTTACACACGGCTAAGATACCACGGACATGAGATCAAAATTATATAAGCGTGAAACGCACGTTTGCGAACATCCGCTCGTGAATCCAAATATGAACCGTCGGGGAATAATAACTGACGCAACGACTTCCACGCTGATTTATATTGATTTATTTTAATACTCGACTGAAGTCTGAATTATAAATAAAAAAAGTATGACAAATAAACGCGACTATCGATGCACATATTTGTCACTTGGTTTTATCGGCTCCCTATTGGCTGTGTATTTCATTTGTTACGAGCGGTTGGTTGCGTTTTACGCGTGAATTAATAAAACGCGAAACAATGTAAATACCGCTGATAGCCACGGCAGTTATGTAAAATACGTGAAATTTAACACGAAACTTTTCACCGTCTACGCAACAAGCACAGATATAGTAAGTGCTTTCCAAGGAACGAACTAATTAATAAGAACGCAATTAAACGCTTTGTCCACATTACCGGGAAAATGTCAGAATCCGAAGAACGGTGGGATCTGATAATTGCACCTTTTTTCTCAGTTTGATTTCGTAACTCGCGACAATCTCTCGCGATCGCAGCTTCCAAGGGGAATCACGATCCGGTCGTTTGTGCCTGTAGTGAAGTTTATCTTGACGAAGCGTGTGCAGGTGCCCGTCGTATCTCCAGGAATCACGCATGGTCGAGGGGGCAGCACACCGCTCAGAGTACCGGAGTCGAGGTAATTCCCGATCAAAGGAACTCACCTTAATCGATTTGTCGTTCCTTGCCATGGATTTGACTACCGCATTCGTGTCTGATTAATTCGGGACACGCTGCACCGGACGTATAGAGGAAACGAAGTCGCATCGACGAATGTAATATGCCGAAAATTAATACGCACGGAATGTACGGCCGCCAAGCGCGAACAGATGCGAGCGGACTGTCAGAGCGAATTTCACGGGCGTCTCGGAGGGGGTAACGTATTCAATTTCAATGTATTTAATAATTCAGCTCGAAATAATCATGGGGGATCCCGCGAAATAAATAAGTAAACTCCGCTCAGCTCGGCGGCCGGATGTAAGTAGGAACGAATGAATAAGTAACGCAAACACTTCGGCGAGAGGTGGAAATTTGGCAAGAGTCTTACGCGCTTCTATTCCTTTCTGTTCTTCGAATTCCGTCGATCAGATCGGATTCGTTTGCCAATGCCAGCACAACAGAAACGACCTCCCGATTGTTCGTTAGCAGCGTGTTGCCTTCCGACCGGCGCTGCGCGCATAATTCAACGGCGTAATCGCGGATAATTTTATATTCGTCACCGTTCATAGTTCCGAGCGCGCTAAGACAACCAGCGCGAGCGAGCGTTATTTCATTATGCTAACAGTGGCTCCGCTGCGTTGTTGTTGACTGTAGTACGTGCGAACACGCACCTGGCTTTATCCTGAAATAATGTCGCCCGTTAATACCAAGTGGCTATAGTCATGTTGCGAGTCAAATTAATTAACTAGGTGTTTTCACGGCGGCGCAGCGATATCAAAGGCACGAGTAGTTACCGGTGTGCGCGAATATCTATCCCCGCGAGCGCCCTCGATGATCATTGAAATTTCCGGGCACGGTGTTTTAATTAAATTTCGCCGAGGGACCCGCGCGCGGGGAAATCGCGGGGAATGAAAGATCACGCGATTAAATCGCGCGCTTTCCAGCCGGATCGACGGCATCGACGTGCGCCGGGTTTATTATTTTACAGCGAGTCTGTCCGATCGCGATCGAGTAATCCAATAATGTGATCGGACGCGGGAATAAAAACAACGCTGAATGGAGGGTCCTGTAGAGAGATCTGCATAGAGAAGCGTTATTGTGAAAAAAACGGCTCGATTGGCTGGTCGGAATTGTGTCGGCGCTATTTTGTTCAGCGACTGCGACTAAGAGTATTGAAAATTGAATACTTCTTCAAGATAGGTAGAAGGACACATCGCAGCTAATGACGCCCCTCTATTTATATTTAGAACCATATGCGGAAGCATGTCCAAATTATATCTCGCATTCGACTGTTTTTTATCCTATTGTTCTTTCTTCCCTCGTTGTATGCTCGGTGGAGGGGAGATTGCAGCATTTTTTCCCCCGAGTCTCGCGCTCGGATTCAATAGGAGAATTTGCTTCGCAATTTTCCGAAGATAAATCCTCCATCGGCTCCCCGATGCGATGAAGTTTATCGGGGTAAAAGTGTCGCAATCTCTCTTCCACCGGCGGCACGGGATTTAAGTAAGATCGCAGATAGTAAGTAGGAGTATAGATTGTGCGTGAGCGGTGTGCGTCTCCACCGATAAGTAGATCTTGTCGCGTATACAATCGAACGTTACGGGCGGAAGGGCGTCGTGGGTGTGTAAAAGGAGTTCGTTGGAACTTGATTCGACCGTTACAGGTCGATAAAATCCGCCTGGGCAGTATCGAAGAGTTAAGTCAAGAGCGATCTTTTTTTCTCCGGTGAACATATGTGGACGAGCTTTCGTAGCTTTTACGGGCTGTATCGAAGGATCACTCGTGTCCCTACACGCAGCTCTCGCGCGAAGTCGCTTCGAAATTAGAGACGGACGTTGAAGACCGTATCGGACACACATCGGACAGGGGCGCTCGACTCCGCCGCGGCGATCGATCTTCTCCGGAGCACTCGATGGAAAGCGAAGAAACGCTCGTATTTCATGAAACAACGTCATATTGCACGAGTGCTTTTTGCCTTTCCCTCTTTCTTCCCGGTTCCTATCGGCGGAGTATTCTCAGTCGCGAATGAAACGCGACTGTCAAGCGCGAGAATTACGTACCGTCAGCCCGAGTCGAAATTTCAGCCTTACGTTGAAACCTTTAATTCTAGAAATGAGTGAGAGCTGAAATAGCAAAAAAAAAATATATATAGGTTTATTTCTAATGATGTAATTTAAATTATAAGCAAGAGAAAACAGTAGGAATATTTACTCCTATTTTGATCTTGACGGTGTCTTAAGTTTCCGCTTTCGCTGCTTTTAGCGTCGAAATAGATCGTTTAGAGCGAACACTTGTGCGAATTTAACAATCAAACTATGGAGAGCATTCGTGGCTTTAAGGTAACATTGGACGAGAGTTAACGTCCGAAATCGAAACGATTTCGGGTCGCCGACGAAACAGGCTTATTATCGATACTCTCGCGCATCCTGCCGATTACAGAATATAGTCTCTCTCTCTCTCTCTCTTGCGTGGAGATCAGTGCAATTCTACAAACAATTGCCATGCTTGCGTGCGTATGTGCGCGTATTTGGATTCAATTGAACCAAATCGAATCTACATGTGTTTGTCCTCGCGTGCGCGACCCGTATTTTCGGCGAAATTCGCCGTAAACCGCAGTTACATCGTATGCTACATCGTACGTTTCGCGTGTGCGTCAAAAATAGAAAAACATGGGAAGAAAAGGACAACTCCGAGGGACACAGAGCGTCGCGGAAACAACAAATTGCGCTCGAAACGGCAGATTTGTCAGCTCAACTCGAAAATCTATCGTTTCGTGCTCGGTCAAAGGGTAGTTCGGGATGACTATTTTCCGCACCGAGAGCGGACTGCAAACCGGCGGGGGAGATTTTTCGAGAATTTTCCGGGGGATGCGATATGACGAAACATCGGAACATCGGGATCCATCATTCCTTCCGCACGCTCAGATCTGTCTGTTTCTCGAGGGTTTCCCTCGAGTATACCCCGACGCGACGTTTTGCGTCTCGTGTTTCTCCCGCGCGCAAATGAGATTAGCAGGATCGAAGGAATGGAACTCCGCATCGCGCGCGGGGACAATAGGAGCTGGAGGAGAACCGGGTCAGTCGGTCGAGCGTGTCGAGCTGCGTTAGACAGGTCGGACCGCATCCGCGCGGAGTAATGCACTTCGCGTCGTTTCGTTTCGGCACGACGCTTTTTCGAAAAAAAAAAACAAAACGCACACGCGGCGCGGATAGAGAGGCGAATTCAACGGGGGAAAAATAACGCTGCATGCGCGAGCGCCGCGAGAGCCGCAAAAAAAATATATATAGGAAGAGAGAGAGAGAGAGAGAGGGGGGAAAAAAAACTCGAAACCATCGTACGAATCGCTTTGTTTTCGCCGCTCGACGATAATGCATTCAACCTAAAAATGCGGTCAATGACGTTAATGAAACAGGGAAGGGGGGGGGGGCGAGCCCATTCGATTGTCCGGATCGTCATAATTTGCGCACAGCGGCGGCTCGCGCGCACCGATACTCAATCGTTTTTATCGGCCATCAAATTGCGCACCGAGAGGGGGCTTGAACGGACGATAAAGTCAGATGGGAGAGCGTATCGGGTCGCCTATAAATCGCCACAATTTCTGTCCGATGCATATTACTTTGATACATCGAGACCATTAAGAGATCGTCAACGCGCGATCATCCGTCCGCAGGGGATTCTCGGCGCGGATCGCGAAAGCCGAATATTTCTGAGAGTCTTCTCTTTTGATATTTCTGTGTCGATAAATACTTGATTTTGGCCCTCGAATTAGCGTTGCGCCCTTCATGGATCTGTTTCCGACGTTTCGTGAATAGTTCGCTTCTTCCGGGTGAGGGACGACCTACACTTTTACACAGAAAACAGTGATGTTATTGTTGAGATGATTTAGTAATAGTTACCAAATACTTCGGTAAAAGTGTTATAATACTTGATAACTCTTAGCGAAGCGGCTAATAACGATTTATCATATTTAACATTAATTACCAGACACTGCGCTGAAACGCTCGATTAAATGCATTTGTTAATTATCGTCAGACTTTCTTTCTCAATGCATGAAAGACGCGAGGTTAACGCGAAAGCAAAATTCTCTTTCACACACGAATGAGGCGCCCGACCGCTTCGTTATCGGAACGATCGCTCATCGTGCGCGCGGATGATTTTTGTTTCAGCGATTTTAGACTCGCTTTGCAAGGAGTTCCTCTCGGTGAACGTGTCGGCCATCTTATACCTAATGAACTACGAGAAATACGGACGTAGTACGGCCAGCGCTCAATACTTTCTCCAATTGGCCGGCTACCTAGGAATCCCCGTGATCGCGTGGAACGCCGATAACTCCGGGCTCGAAAGGGTGAGTCGCAGCTCGCACGAGAAGCTCGAGAATTTATGGAGTGGTGAGGCCGCTCTTCCGAAACAATTAAGTAATCGCTCCTTCAAGCGCCCGTATCACCGTAACAGACCGTTTCTTTCCCGAGTGTCCTCCTTTTCGTTGTGTTATCGTTACTCTCTGAGTTTCTTGGGGTGAGACCTCGCTTCGAACCGAGCGAGAATGAAAAAGAGCGAATTCTCTTAATTTACATTCTTCAATGCGTATTCATTCCGCGTATCATTCTATAAAAGTGAAAAGTCACTTCAACTGGAGTGATTCGGCAGTCACTTTGTTTTTCGAATGGAGATTCCACTCGAAAAAGTTGAGAAAGTACAGTTAGTGTTATCCTTCGGCGCCGAATCTCGAATACGAACGCAGTTATATCTCGACTATTCTCGCATTTATTAGCCCAACTATAAAAACGTTTCAACGGAACTATCCGTGTTCGGTGCGATCCTCTAATTGTTCCGTACGATTTATTTCCGCCGGGCGTACACAATATCTATTCGCGAACTCTGCTTTCTCTCTGGTGTTATATATATATATATTTTTTTTCCCCCTTTTTTTCGGTATTTCTGTGTTATTTTTACGCGCGCCCCAAAGGATCCCCCGCGCGTCATAACGAAAAATATACGAGTGGTTTCAATAACACCGGTTTCGCGCCAGTTTATTCTCCGAGGAGGGCATTTTTTGCCGCGTAATATATAAAATCGCGCTCCGAGCTGTTTTTCCCGGCCGGGGGAGACGCGGATATCGCCCGGTCGGCGGGATTCGCGAAACGTAACGAGAACGTTGAAATTCCGTTGGTTTGCAGCGGGCGTCGCAGAGCAGCCTGCAGCTGCAGCTGGCGCCGTCGTTGGAACATCAGACCGCGGCGATGCTGAGCATCCTGGAGAGGTACAAGTGGCATCAGTTCAGCATAGTCACCTCGCAGATAGCTGGTCACGACGACTTCATACAAGCGGTCAGAGAGAGAATCTCCGATATGCAAGACACGTTCAAATTCACCATATTGAGCGCCATTCTGGTCACCGACCCACGGCACGATCTGCAGGAGCTGATCAAGAGCGAGTCCAGGGTGATGCTGCTGTACTCGACCAGGGAAGAGGCCACCAGCATCTTGAGCGCCGCGACCGATCAAAAAATCACCGGCGAGAATTACGTTTGGGTGGTGACGCAGAGCGTCATCGAGAATCTGCAGACTCCCAGCCAGTTTCCAGTTGGAATGTTAGGTGAGCGCAGAAACATCCTGAAGGTCACGCACGGTTTCCCGAATTCACGAGTCTGTACAGATTCGCGTCGCATCGCTCGGAGCGATGATTTCTTCAATTTCATTTCGGCCGGTTTCGGGCAAAATGATCGGAGAGTCGGACGCGATGCAGCACGAACGATTTTGCGCAGGTTTGAGCGGGAGCTCAAAGTCTAATTATTGGAATGATTTTAGAGAAAACAGAGCGGGGAAGGCGGGGTGAATTTTATTTACAGAAAGGAAGGGAGAGTTTGAAATGTGTAATGGAAGCTCAGAGATCTCGAAAGTGAAGTTAGCGCGGTAACAACGGGCGTTTCAGTGAGTCTACTTACGCCATTATCGTATCCAAGTTTCCAATTATAACTTGTATATCTCGTTATGTACGTAATATTCCGTAATCCCGATTCAAACTTCGCCGAGAGAGAGAATGCTTTTAATGGAAAAATTTTGCGTTCGAATTAGAGACAATTATCTCGTCGTGCGCGTCTCTCTCGCGAAAGATCCTCTGTCGTGGGAAAATGGGCGGGTGACCAAAACGTAATCAGAAGATCGAAAAAGCGGGTATTCGTGTATCAAGTAGTGCTTCAAAATAAAAAAAAAACTACAATCTGCGCGATTCAGAAATTCGAGAATAATTTTTTAACGTTGCGTTGTGTGTATTTCGGTTTTCAGTTTTCCAATTAAAAAAACACGCGCAAAACGATGCGACCAAACGTACGGATAATAAAATGAAAGTGTAAATTTTATCACAGATATTTCGGCCAAATAAAATTCATTTTCAGATCGCATGTATTATCCTCTGTCGCCTCTGAATGCGCGAACATATCGCGGCGGAGTTAAGAGCCTTTACATCGTTCACACATGCGTTAACATTCAAAATACGTCTATTGTCGGCGAGAATGCATGGTTTCGCCAGCCGGTAGACTGGGAAGTTATTCACACAGTGACCAGAATCACGGAAATAGAAAAATTGATTCCTTTCCCGAGACTCTTCCGGGAATATCCTTGAGGGAAATATAAATTCGTCGAATTCCATCCAACGAACCACGCGGAATAACATAACTCACGCTGAATCTCTCGCGTCTGAATTTCAGCAAGATAAAACTAGCGCAGCAAACTCGCGCGATATGGAACGTAAACACTTGGCGTCCTTAAATTTCATGATTGCTTTGCGAAAATTGTATGGAGAAAGAGAGAGAGAGAGAGAGAGAGTGAGGCAGAGAAAAGGCGAACGAATTGAAGAAATTCGCATTCCATATTTTTCTCTCTCGTCCCGCAAAAGTTTAATCGTACGATTATCAGAACCGCATTCATCATTTCAATTAATACAAAGGAAAACCAGAATGAGAGAGGAAAAGGCCAATCAGAACTTCTGCACGGATTATGCAGTGCAGTCGGATAAATTAATATTTAATACATCGCTAATTTAATATAAATTATATATTTATCCAAAAATTATCCGTAGCCTTATTTTAAGTGGTTTATCATCAAATCAGTATCTCTCATATTATTATATGAGATATGTAATCAGTATCTTTTATATTACTATGTAGAAAAGTATTGAGATGATTTTATGAAAAGTGAATACTTTGTGAGATAATTCATATTTTGTATTGAAAAATATCGGGGATAAAAGTAAATTATTTCGAAACGTGCTCATACTGAAAGGATTTGGTAACAATTACCAAACGTGTAATTAAACAGTTTCAATTCAATGATTTAGCTACAGTAATTAAACCACTCAGTTATATGATATATGTATCATTCAGTTGTGTCTATTTAATCATTTCGTTACACGTAACTAAACAATAGTTACATGTAACTGAACAAATATCATGTAACTAAACAATTTGGTTGCTGTAACGAAATCATTTAATTGGGACTATCTAAATGTTTGGTAATTATTAATGAAACCCTTTTTTCAGTGCACTTTTTGATAATCTTACTCTACAATTTATGGTTGAGCCTTTTCGTCAATTGTTCCGTTTTCAAAATTTCCACTGTTTCCATTAAAATGAAACACTCTAGTTTGACTCTTTAATTACACAAATCGAAACTTTCTCCGTATTACAGTAATTAGCTAAATAGCGTGCACGTAGCGCGTGTCTGTGTTGGTCTAATATTAGTAAATCTGTATTAACATTTTCAAACATTGGTTTACAAAGAATATTAACGTAAACTGAGTATTCATTCATTCGACTGCGCTGCACGATCTTTTCTTCGAAGATTCTTATCGATCCCTTCCTCTCTTTCGCTGATTAGAAACCAGAGCGGCGCATTCGAATATTTTTCTATCGAAAGATTCGCATGAGCGGGTCGCCGGCGGTTACGGCGAAATCACCGCGTCACCGAGCGTCGAGGTCGCGATTTCTCTCGATCGAACGAACGTCACGTCCGTGGTATTCACACGATACAAGTAAATCTTGTTGACTCGATTTTCACGGCTCCAGCGATGCGACCGCGGCGAAAGGGGAAAAGGCGATTCCGGGAGGATTCTCCGCACGAATCGCCGACATTTCTCGGCCTTGCAGTACATCGATTTATCCTCGGCCGACGCGTCCCGCCGGGACTTACGATATTTATGGAAATACACCGGGCGCCGCTGTATTACGGAAAAATCTGGCCCGGTACGAAAAGTTACGCGCGTGAGCCCCCGTTAAAAGGTTTTCCCGCGCGGAGGAAGAACACACGCAGTCGCGCGTGTGCCGCTGTAACGAATATCCTAAGCGGAATAAGATTGTCAGAGCGGGACATTACGACTGCCTGCTTTGGGCCGAAATTTACCGTGAAATCCGAAATCGGGGGAAATCCTGCTATTGTTTACGTTTTGCCCGTTGCGCGGCGTTCCAGCGTTGGATTCACGTTCCGCTCGGTTCCCCGGATTTCAGCCGGACGTGAAAATTACACGCTATTCAAATCCGCGTCCGAAATTAAAAACTTGCGAAAAACTAGAACCCCGGGAGGGGCGGACGATTTTTGCTGTTCCGATGGAAAAGAAGAAGAAGGAAAAAAATGAAAATTACACTGTAACAACGCGCTGTATGTTTTTCTTCCGCCGCGGCGTTCCCGCGCAACGGCCGTGCCCGTTTATTCGAGAATGAATGAACGGAAGCGCAACGTAACTGGAGAGGAACGGGTTACCTTAAGAATTCAATTTCTGTAAACGTCCATCGCGCTCGGGCGAGGCTGCCGCCACAATATCAAACAGGCCGAGCAATAAGCTTCATATTGAGAAATAGAATCTGTGTCTCGTAAATTATTTATCACAAGCTTGCGCTACGGTTAGTCATCCGTCTTTATTCGATTGCCATCAAGCGGGAGGGAGAGAAAAATACGGAAAATTTTCTTTCTTTGTATGGATATGTGTGTGTGTATGTGTGTGTGTGTGTGTACCAGTAGACAAATCGATAGGTCGATAGAAATCCTCGCCGTTAATAAACCCGCTTTAACGAACCAACCCGATATATTCTTTTCCTCCTTTTTTCTCTCGTAGGCGTGCATTTCGATACAAGCAGCGAGAGCTTGGTAAGCGAAATCACCACGGCAATCAAGGTCTACGCTTACGGCGTCGAGGACTTCGTCAACGATCCGAAAAATGCGAATCGCAGCCTGAACACTCAGCTGAGCTGCGAGGGCGCCGGCGAATCGCGCTGGAGCACAGGGGACTTGTTTTTCAAGTAATTCCGCGTAACTTTCTGCTAAAATATAGATAGCTTCGTTTGCGTCGAGCACCCCCCGACGAGCTACTTCTTTTTGCTGCTCTCCTTTCTCCTTTTCTTGCTTTCGAATCGCGGCGGAGTTTTCCTTCGAAATGGCCCCGTCAGAGGTGGGATCCTCCCCCTCTCTCGGCTTTAACGAGTTATCGCAAATTTCAGGAATTTTGCCCTCCGGTCGTGCGAAATAATGTGTAATTTGATTCTGAGATAATTTCACGCTTGTTGATATATCAGAGTTTTGCTCGTTCTGTTATGCTATATTTGGAGTTTCCACATGTTCCACATGTTGAAGTTAGTATCGCGATGTATTTGTTACTCAACGTATTATTTCGATGTCGCTTTGAAAGACCGTAAAGTTTTATTGCACGTTAAAATTACGCGGTATCCTACAATTCGTCTCCATCATCATATCTATTTCATTGAAACACGAATATACTTGAAGCGATATTATATTGAGAGAAAAATCTAAGGGAGAAATATGTTATATTTATTCGATAGATAGTAACATTATTTATATTAATGTACACGTTTTTATACTGGGAAAAAAATTTTTTTCAATAGAAAAAAATTTACATTTTCTTAAATCCGTTGCTTTTTATGAAATTAATCGTTTATTATATTTAAATGAGAGAATTTGGTAAGAAAGATCATATTGAATCGACCGTTTTGAATGTTAAAATGTTGACTTCTGACTTAAATATATTATTATTATCCATCGAATGAATATTTTTTTTTACTTCTTAGATATTTTTTCTCTCAATACACCCGAAATATTTTCGAAAAGTAAAGATATTATATTGACGACTATATGAAAATGGAAAAAGGTTTGTATTTACAGAAGGCGTTCTCGAGATGCGATTTCTGTTAAATTTTTCTCTCTTATTTTCATATTACGAAAATATTCAAGGTAATATTTATTTCTTTACCTTTTATGTCGAATTGACTCTCTATTGTAATTTCCAAGGCATTCGTGTCTCTTATCTCGTGTATAGTAACACATTGCAACCCTCTCGCCTGTAATCCCTTTAGATACTTGAAAAACGTCTCCGTCGAGGGCGAACAAGGGAAGCCGAACGTGGAGTTCACTCAAGACGGCGTGCTCAAGGCGGCGGAGTTGAAAATTATGAACCTTCGGCCGGGAGTTAGCAAGCAGCTCGTCTGGGAGGAGGTGAGCCCGAATTATTTCGCATGCACTTTACTAGCTGTGAAACTTTGCCCACTGAAAGCTATTGCCAGTCGCTCGTGCGTATAGGAAAGACGCGGTCACACGTTCGCAAATAAGTATACACGAAGACAGACGGAATAATTAAAGCCGAAGCAACAAGATAAGAGGGGGAGAACGGGGATCTCGAACGGGCTTCTTCGGACGCGCTATTAATGCGATTAGGCGTTTGCATGTATCTGCATAAAATTTGCGCGAAAAGAATTCCCGTTCTAAAGGATCTTCCGCTCTCTTCGTCGATATACGCGATTGGATGCGTGGAAACGGCTGGCAATCGCGCGCCGGGATTTTTCCCTTGCCGGTCGGCGAATTGTTATCGCGTCGAAAATGAGAATTGCGATATCACAGACGACTTTCATTCGTTTATTTCCACGTTATCGTTATAACGCGACATATTTGTTTCATTGCCTATTTCGAGCAACTGTTTCTATTTCAGCAACTTTTAGCCATTTTATTATTATTTCAACACGACTAATTTTTTTATATATTTTATTATCGGATATTTGTTATTTTTTATTTCTTTCTTAATCTCATTTTGATAACACCTCTCGATGTGGGCGCTCAAGGATGAGTCAATTTTTACCGCCCGCTCATCTTTTTTCACGCGACAGATGAGTTTAACGTCGATCGGCCTGTAATTCAACGAGAGAGGGCGAATTCGGGGAACAGCGGACCGCGGAGTTACGAAATTTTTCGGAAAAAGAGTCCCCGTGGAAAAATATTCTTCCAGCGTTCAAGTGTAAAGTGGCGCCGAGGGCTAAACGAGCAGCGGTATTGCGCGAAAGGGCAGAAATTTATCGCCTCTCTCGGCCGAAAAGCCTCAAAAGGCGCGCGCGTTCTGTGTAGTAAATAAATCACGATCGCCTCTCTTTCGTTATACGTTGGATTTGCGGCGTCGAGCCGCGAAATTGCGGTAAACTTTAGCGCCGTCCTTTTGGCTACCTTTCGCGTCCGTCGTCCTCGGCGATGTTCCGAAGAACCGCGCCAACAGAGAGAGAGAGAATCGACGTAGCGACTTCATTATAATCCGCGTTCCGACATTCGCAGCCACGGCATTGAAACGCTATTGTAAACGTTTTTAAGAGCTGGGATGACAATAAACGCAAGTATCTACCTATCTTCTCTCAGCCTCGGCCTCAGAGCGGTGGCTTCTTGCCGCGGAACGAACGCGACGAGCACGTTTCCGCTCTGGCGCTCTCCAGAAATTCTCAGGCTCGGATGGCTCGTAATCGCGTTATGAATTGCCGTTCGCAAGATATTTCTGGATACGAGCTACCCCCCCCCCCCCCCCCCC